ATGTTAATGAGAGAGATTTGCTGTTAAGCCTTAATAATTTTAATTCTAAAAGTTCAAACTTTTAAATGTGGAAGAGTAGACAAACATTCTAGATTAAATTACTTTTATCATTAATTTATGAAAATTTTGACCGATCAAGTTTTCTTTGACAAAAATAATTTCGACGCACTCAATGATCGGCTCGCTAAAACAATTTTTTTTCGAATAAATTCGTCTTCTTAATATTTTAATGAAATGATTTAGCGTAAATTCTGTTTTTGGCTTGATATATAGGGTACAGTGCTTGATTTTCTGATTTAATTTGTTTTATTTTTGGTGTTACCTGTGGATTGAAAGACCCTTCTCATCTTCTCTAAAATGGTCACAGTTAAGATGTTATGGATATCCTGATATGGTGAATTTTTAATTTGCACCCAAATTGATTAATTAGGTACTAATTATTACTCTGGGGTCATATTTATTAACATGAATTATTCTTGTTGCACATAATTTTTTTACCTAATTGGTTACCTAATTGACAAGTGGCGGCCTTCTATTGAAGGGGCACCTGGGCCCACAAGCCGCCATTTGTCAATTCGGTAACATATTAGGTAACACATTATGTACTTGTAGCATGACTGATTATTAACATTTAGAATTCTGTTTATAGAAGTCGTTTTCATAAGAAAAGTTGTCAAAATTTTTATATGTTAGTTAATATCTTTATACTTAATCGATATGGAATTATTTCTTAGCATGCTTTCGCGAGATTGTGGCGTGTTTGATAACATCAATCATGAAACTTGAATGTTTATTTGATCTTTCAACAGATCAAATTGCTAATTTATTTAAAAAAAAAAAGGTCAAACTCAATTTCCTCATTAACTAATAGACATTTGGATGGAATCCATCCATTAGGGTTTCAGTCGCAACGTTTCGAAAGGTTAGGAGTGACATGTGCAAAGAATGAAAGGTCAGGGGAACTTTAAGTATTTCAAAAGTTTGGAATCTCTGCTGAAATTATCCCCAAAATATTTTGCTAAAAACAATTACATAATATTGTG